GTGTGTGTGTGTGTGTGTGTGTGTGTGTAGTGGTGAAACCCCAGGATGATGGAGGTGTGACGGATCAGCTGTACTCTGAAATGAAGCCAGCTGTGGACGGAGCGAACTACATCATCAAACACATGCGCAACAAGAACGAATACAACGAGGTGAGAGCGAACAACCAGAACGTGACGATGCTCTGCTTGATTCAAGATGCTTTGAATTGTGTAAAAAATGTTAGCACGCTTTCATCAACATTTTGCATTTTTTTCAGTATTTCCCACACGCACATGTTTCAAATCAACAAACAAATTCTAATATTTGTCAAAGTTAATCCAAGAAAATACAAAACACAGTTTTCAAATGATGGTTTCATTGATAAGGAGAAAAAGCTGCCCAAACCGACCTGGCCCTGTGTGAAAGTCATCGCCCCTTAAGCCTCAGAACTGGTTGTGCCAACCTGGGGGGGAAGGTTCATGCATTAATAATAAATAAAAACAAATGTTACACATCACTGGGGAGGAATTTTGGCCCCACTCTTTTTCACAGAATTCTGCCACATTGGAGGGTTTTTCAGCATAAACAGCATCTCCATTGGATTTTAGTCTGGACTCCAAAGCCAGTCCAAAACTTTCATCTGTTTTTTTGGGCACACTACCTCCATGTTTGATTGAAAAGTTGTATTCGTTTTAAACCTGATGTAACTGGACTTAAACCCGTTACATCTGGTCAGTCTGGGGATCATCCAGATGTTTTGTTGGTCAGCAGTGGTTTTCGTCTTGGATCTCGCCCATGGATGACATTTTTGCCCAGTCACTTTCTTATTGTTGAATCGTGAACTCTGACCTTAAGTGATGCCTGCAGTTCTTTAGATGTTCTTTTGTGACATCCTAGATGAGTCGTTGATGTGCTCTTGGAGTAATTTCGGTAGTCTGGCCACTGCTAGGAAGATTCACGTCTCTTCCAAATCTTCCACTGTGGTTCACTGGAGTCCCCAAACCAGCAGTTTTTAACACTGCTGTGTTGACTTCATTATTCTTGGATCTGGGGCCAGACTGTAACAACATCTGATGAGAGGAATAGAAGCTCATTAGTTCCTTTGGTTATGGCTTTATTGTTTTTATTGAATAAAAAATGAGGTGAAACATAAAACTCTGCCCTCGCTGGTGTCGTCACAGGAGAAAGATAACTGGAGCGGCATCGCTCGCACCGTCGACCGTCTCTGCCTCTTCCTGATCACTCCTGTGATGATCTTTGGCACCATCATCATCTTCCTGATGGGAGCCTGCAACAGTCCTCCACGTCTGCCCTTTGAAGGAGACCCGCATGACTACATGGAGAACCATGCACGTCTGCTGTAGCACATGAACAAAAGCACCCAACACAGCAGAGAGCGCTGTTACTGTGTTCATATCCTGAGGTTTGTTACTCTGTATGACAAAATATTGTAGCTGTGTGTTTTCTTGTGTTGAATGAATAAGTCTGTATTTGATTTAATCCAGGGTTTGTGGTTTGAATAAAGATTTATAATCAGAAATCTTTGACATGATTTGTTTCTGTTCACAATGATTGAACCAGCAGAGAATATTCACTTTCACTCTTTAACCTTTTTTTCTTTGCATGAACTAAAGACTGTTTTTTTAAACTCTCCAAGGTTCGGTGTGTAAAATGTCACCACTAGATGTTGTTAGATTGCATAGTGCAGTCAGTTAAATTCTATGTTTGCAACTCTCCCAATTCGAATGCATGTCCAGCTGCAGCAGGACAAACAAGTCTATGATGTGACTCCTCTGTCAGTCAGCTGTTTACCGCGGCTGGTGTCCACGTCGATTCACTCTGGAGAAAGCTGTCCAGTGACACAGATATCAAGGTGAGCTGGTGAGGATATCCTGCATGTTTCTGTTGTTAAGTGCTGCTGTTAGTCAGCATTAGTACAACAGTCTGTAAAGTGGATGTAACTTTGTTGGATTCTGAGACTTGGATAATAAACTCGTATGATGTGAGAATGTACTTTACCTTTAAAAAAACTGTTTAAGTGTGATTTTTAGGACACTTCAGTCCTACATTACCTGTCATAATGGCGGAAAGGCTTTTACAGACAAAAACATGGCTGTGCCATGGGCTCCCCCGTGTCACCTATTGTAGCCAACCTTTACATGGAGGAAGTGGAAAGGAAGGC